TTGCCACAATAGGAAAACTGAAAAAACATGAAGCATATAAGGAGCTAGGTATGCTAAAAATACAAGAGTTTTAGTCTAGGAAAATAAAGCCTAATCTATTAAAAGTCTTTTACATGAATAAAGGCTGACAGTTGAGTTTTGGGAATTCATGTAACAGGAGAGTTTCTTATTTCAAAGAAGGAAACAGAACTCAGAAAGGTCAAGGAGAAATAAGCAGAGAAACCAAAAGTAAATTCCTCTGGTTTAAATAATTCTTTTAGTTTTAAATTGCTCAGTGAAAAAAAAAGTTAAAGCCAGGCATGGTGTAATATGCCTGGAATCGCAGTACTCTGGGAGGCTGAGGCAGTAGGATCACAAATTTGGGTCCCCAAAGAACAACTGAGGTGCTGTCTCAAATAAAAATAATTAAAAGAGTGGGGGATACAGTTCAGTGCAACTGCCCTGAGTTCAATTCTTGGTTTTGCAGAAAAACAAAACAATACAGAAAGTTTCCAGTCTTGTTATAGTTCTCCTCCCACTGGAGTCTTTCCAACTGTTGCTATAGAAGCTGCACTGACCCAGCTCCACAGGGAAGAGAATATACTAATAGACTTCCCGTATGTTGGCACAAGGATACAAGTCAAAACACAGAACAGTAAAAATATCTGGCAGAGATGCTCTGTGATATGAAATTTACAAGGAGAAATTTCTTTCAAAATGATAAAACCTAAGCTTTCTACAATGAGCAATATATATTTTTTGTTCATTTAATGTTTAGCTTTCTAGTCTCATGACAGGTTTCTCTCATTTAGTTTTGAAGTCTAGGAATTAACAGTCCTGCCAAGATCTTCCTCTCCCCTCAGTGGTTATGTGATTTGATGGGAGAGTGGAGAAAAGAAACTGTGCTGTGATGGGTTCTCCGAGAAGGCATCTATCAGAGGTCAGGGGGAGGGATGGGACAGACTATCATTACTATATAGGAGATGACTTTCTTCAATTCAGTGAGTAAATAGCACTTCATTATATTACATATCCAAGGTAAGCTTACATGTAAAATTCAAGAGGTCTTTATACATATTAGGCATAGGTTAACATTATAAAGGTGAACTTGGGTACAAGTGTAAAATAAGGTTATCCACTGTCAGACAGCACAAAAATACAATTACAAATGTAGTAATCTCACAACTTGGGAGCTGGAGAAGAGCTATCTCAGCACCTTTTAATTACCACCAGCACTGAAAAGCAAGGATATGGCCTTTCAGCCTGGTCATTAAAAAGATCCTATTCAAACTATATGCAATTTTTTCTAAGATAAAAACACATTTTCTATTCATCTTTAGACCAAAGAATAAAGGTTATTAGAGAAAAATGGAAAGACATTCCATGCTGAATATACTTAACATCAGTGGATCATGTGACACAGTTGCTTACTTGTTTCCTTTTGACTTTTGACTTCAAGATGTTGTCTCATGGTTATCTCTCTGTCTCTGTGTCTGTGTCTCTAGTTCTCCTTCCCCGTCTCCCTCCCTTGTGGTACTGGGTACTCAACTCAGGGCCTTCACGTGAACTACATCCCCAGCCATTTTTTATTTTGAGAAAGAATCTTGCTAATTGTCCAGGCTGGCTCAAACATACAATTCTCCTGCCTCCACAGTGCTTTACTTCTCGCTTTGATTCTTTTCAGTCTCCTCCTTTTATCTTTGTTTCTAGGTCCACCAATGTTCATACAGCTAAAAATTTCATATTTTGCTTGCTTTTACTCTATATATTTTCACTGATTCTCATTTCTTATTTTGCATTCATCCACCCTCTATTCTCTAATAATTCCCAAATCTAAACTTTCAGCCCAGAGCTCATACCCAAGATCTAGTTATTTATAAACAACAGCAGCTTTTAATTTACATTCACTGCTTCTAGCCTTTCCAAGTTTCAATCCATATTTCATATTCCTGACAGTGATCTGACCATGTCATTGCCATATTTAAAAGTTTCCAATGATTCCTCGCTAAAGTTCTTAGAAAGATAAATAATCTACTTCATGATTTCTCACTTTAGTATTAAAAAAAAGATTAAAGTCATTAGTATGACACACAAAGAACTTCAGTATCAACTAATCCCATTTCTGCAAAAGTAATTGTGGTTGTCAAAATAAATTCAACTCACTCCTGTGTTTCTGAATAGGTTGTTCCAACTCTATGTGCCATACCTTTTATGGGATTAATCACACATACTCAAAATTGGCTCATCTGGAAATTAAGTTCAGTATTTATAGAAGATAGTTTATATGTTAACACTAAGTCCTTGTAGTCAAAGAGTTTACATTTCTGTCTATCCCCTACCTCTAGGGAAAGGAGACAAAAACCAGAGAACTAATAAAGTAGTGATAAACCTTATGATTAAAATGAGACAAGCTGATGAAGAGTGACTAGCATGTAGTGAATAGCTAAAGTAAAGTCTAAAGAAAGACCCATGAGGAAGCAGTGTTGAACCTTAGTTCTCTTCTTGGAAATGCCTGGTACTTTTCTTTCAACAATGAATACCTATGAAAGCATTCAACACTGAATTTTATTTCTATCTCACTATACACTAATTTCTTGCAGGGAAGAATTCAGTTTTTTCAATTTGAATCACCACTCCCTAACACCAAGGCTGGCACATCATCAATGAAATAAACCAGTTCTCTAGTGATGGGATCAAAAAAGGAAAGAGACCACATAAGTTTTTAAAACTAAAAATCATCGGTGTTCCGACATGACATCTGATCATTTCTACTTCTTTCCTTCACACCCAAATTTCAAAAAGGAGAAAATAGACAACAGAGCTCATCCAAGCAATTTGATATGATCCTGTATCTACTTCTGCCTTCCCAAAGTGCTTCTTATGCCTTCATTCTGGCTATTCTTGGCCTTTGTTTTTCAACACCAACAGGTTACTTCCTTCTCTTTAGAGATTTGACTCCTGGTTCCCTGCTTTTCTTTTCCCAGAGCTCAACTTTAATTAGCCTGAATTTGACTTCTAGTTTTAATCATGGCCAGTGGACTCTCTCAATTCTTTTACTTTGGTAGTCACAGATAATGTAACGACTTATTTTCCCTGCTGTATGCTCTCTGCTTTGTTGTCTGGTTTATACAAATGAAGAACACTAATGCCATTACTCCTTTTAATGAATCCTTTTCTAATATCTTGGGCTTCTCTATCCACAGTGTGACCACACAATCTGCCCCCAAAACTGCGACTCTGAGAAATGAAAAGGGATATTCACGGTAAGTATAGACCACAGGTATGAACCCAATTTTGTGGCCTTCTGTATCCAAAAGTTTCTTAAAGGACTTCATCTGAGCCAATGGCTTCTTTCTGACCAGGCCAGGTTTGTCCCTCTCACTGTATCCATTTGAGCTTCATATTTGACCCTTTCAGTACTGAAATAATTTTCCAGAATTTGCCAGTAACTTGTGTAGAGATCACTATGTGGAAGCTCCTAATACAGGTAATAACAAGCACAGCTGACCTTTATAGGCTCTCATAAGATAAAACATTATGATAAGCCTTTTTTATTCAATTATTTGTAAAACCTAAAATAATTTATTCCATTTTAGATAAATGAAACAAGATTAAAGAGGTTAATTTACTCAAGGGCAGACACAAATACATGCAGAATTTATTTTTAATCCCAGATCTGCCTGCCTGTGCCTGTGTTCTCAAATACTATAATATATAACGGCTGAGTATAAAATAATCTCTTTTCATTGAAAAAGCACCAATAACTATGAGTAAAATACTCAATGCTTCTGAAACCCCATATTTTTTGGGGGGTGGTCCCAGGAATGGATCTCAGGACCTTGCACTTATGAGGCAGGTGGCAGAACCACTGAGCTAAATCCCTGGCCCCTGTACTTCTTTTTAGCAACCATAGTAATGTTGCTTACCAAACATCTATTTCCTAGACCAATGGGTCTAGTTGTGTACTCCAAAAGTAAAATATTTGACCACATGCTCTTCGATAAGTATATGCTTAGACATTATATATGTGCACAATGTAGTAATAAATAGTATATACTGTAGACCACATTCCAAAACAGAAATAAATATAAAAAATTAAAGGTGAATATAACTCCAATATTTTTTCCACATCCTAGAGGGTTATCTTGCCTACTCCCTGAGAGACCACATTAGAAACTCATATTCTAAACTAGTGTATCTCAAGTGTTACCATGGACAGAAACTACCTTACAAACTTATTTTTAAAGTGGGTTCTAATTCAGCATGTTTGGAGTGGGCCTAAGTAACGTTAATACTGCTCACCCAAGGAGTACACTGTGAGTAGCAAAAATTTAAATAAGAAATTGATGTTTATCCAAATTTAGGCTATTTTCCAGGAGATTAAAAAAAATAGGTGATTCTAAAGCCAACTTTCCATGATTATGACCAAAACTGAGAAAAATTACTTTTTAAGCATATAATAATCAGTATACATATTAAAAAACTACAACAAAAAATACATCTGAAATGGGGACACATCTGGCTAACATGAGTATAATGTAAAAATCTTGATTTTGTTTTCATACACTGCTTTTCTATCACCAAACACAATACTGAATAGAAATAAAGGAAATAAAATAAAGACAAAGTTAACTAAAACATGTATTTGTATCTGTTTCCAACATGAAATCAGCACACAGGAAACCTGTGGTTAATATTTATATTTGTTATCAGAGATATAAATACACGCAAGGTGAGAATTCCAAAGAATACTAGTCTTACAGCCTATTTGAAATTTATACACTTTTAAAATGTCCAAGCATTTTAAATTTATAAGACTTTTATTTATGAAACTCAGGCAAATTCAGAATGTAAGCAAAATGAAAGAATTTTGGTCGTGTTAATCTTGCCGTTCTCTAACAAAACCCTAAATTCCATACCACTGACTGCAAAAGAGTACTTTGTGTTGCCTTTCCAATAATTTCCAACAGTCAAATATACCATACAACAGCTAAGATCATACTCAATTTTCAATTATTTACCTTGTCAATCATTTTTCTTGCTTCCACTTCCTCACTGTTGGGATTCTCTAACTCAATGGTATAAGTACCCTTGTCACTTTGGTCATCATCATTATCCTTTTCAGAAGTAGCAGAAGTAGCTTGACTTTTTAACATTTTATCCATCTCCTGGCTTGGTCTCTGCCCAAGACTCCCTGAACTTCTTAATAATGCAGTTTGTAGGAAGGGAATTGACACCGAAGGCTCCTCTGATTTCTGTTTTAACAATTTCCCATGTGGAACACCATGCCCCCCTCCTCTGTGATGCGCAGAGCTAGTCTGTAAAGACAAAGAAACCACTTTGGCATCTGCTGTTGGAGACTTTGCTTTTTCAAGTTTTGTATGTGGTGCAGAATGAGTAGATTCCTGACACAAGACTCCTGTACTTTGAGTAAAGGAATATGACCTCCTTTTTCTGGGACTGTCTTCATCAACGAATGCAATCATAAAAGTAGTCTGACTTACAACAGCTTGTTCTTGATGCCTTTCAGAGGCCTGGATCTTCTGTAGCTTTTTCTGCTCTGAATGGTGGTGCCTTAAGTGCTCCTCCAGAGTTGCACGCTTGCTGCATCGTCTGTGAGCCCCAGCATTCTCAGAGTCACTTTGTGTACCATCATCATGTTTATTTCCTGGACACAAAAATGAAATCACATAATAGAAAAGAAAAAACTCCATGTAGCAAACTAGAAGCATTTACAAAGGTGCTATTTGTTTTGGCTCCTCCCACTTTTCAATCCAAAGTCATGTGCTCTTTTCAGCAACAGGCTCTGCAAACTTCCCTCACTTTTTGTGGCTACATTCACATTTTATCAGCCAACAATGAGTTATTTTATAAACAAATGAATAGGATTGCTTTTCTTTCTCTAAATCTTAACTTGCAATGATATTCAAGACTTTTTTTAAAAAAAGTTCAGTATACCTTTCTTTTAGTAAGATTCAAATTTGTAGTTTCTACTAATAAATGCACAAAATTTTTTACCTATGAGAATTATTGAAGATTGCATTTCAACTCTAAAATCTGGTGGATTCAAAGAGTTAAAGAATGCTAAGAGGCCTGTCAAGGAAGAAAGAGTACTCTATGGAATACTAAAATAAATCTAAACACCGTACAATATGGTGCTAAATTTAACAAGATGCCGCCTCTAAAAAAATTTTTTAAGTTAGACTTAAATTGTGAAATATCAATATCAGAAAAAGTAAAAACCACTGATTTACCTCTCATAGTTCTGAGGACGTGACATTACAAAAATTATTTGATCTTTCACTGATCTAAATTTCTACCTAAATAACCAGTATATTAGAATAATTCAAAGATAACTACTGTATTATAGAATGAAATTAATGAAAAGTCAAGAATTATCTTATGCACATTTTAGACAGAGTCACAAATCAGGGCTTAAATGATCCCGCCACTGGAAGCTATAAATGAAATCTAGTACAGTATAATGTATGTTGGTATACTCCAAAGCCTCCAGGAATAAATCTGATTTTCAAATTTCCCTGGGCTATAAATTTTAAGGTAGACCCTTGTTAAATACGGTGCTTCCACACAAGATAATGATCAAATTCAAAGACTGGGCAAAGTGATTGGTAGAAGACATGTCTTGAGAAAAAGTGGAGTTTTAACACACAGGTACATTCTTAGCAAATTTAGAGACTACCAAGTGATAAGAATAATTTAATACTAGAGTGATAGCTGTAAAAAAATAAGGTACCTGAATAAGATTCAGAGGAGAAAGTGGTAGAACACATAGAAAATGGTGGTGTTTTAGGAAAGAAAAAGGGAAACAAAAGGGAGTAAATAAGATGAAAATTACTGAGGGTTGAGGAAGCATTCACATTAAAGGGATAGTGATTAATATTATAAAAATAATACTACAAACACATTTGAAACTCTTCAACTTATTAACTATTCAAAAGGCAATTTTTAAAGCAAAACAGGTGCTTAATTAGTGGGGCCCCTGCCTTAGATAATTAATTTAGGAATCATGGACAGCAGATGGAAAAGAAAACTCAAATAACACCACTAATTCAAATAAAAATTCATTTAAAACATTATACTTTTACAATCTATTTCACTGTTGTATTGGCTACACTCAAAAGGTATCCAAATTGTAAGAGCTGGAAATAACCTCCAGTTTTTTTTTTTGTTTTTTTTTTTGAGACAGGGTCTCACTATGTAGTTGAGACTGACCTGGAATTCACTATGCAGCCCAGGCTGGTCTCAAACTCACAGTGATCCTCCTGCCTCAGCCTCCCCAGTGCTGGGATTACAGGCATGTGCCACCACGCCCAGCTATCTCCAGTATTTCTTGCAAAATAAGACTAAATAACTCATAACAAACATACATTTAAATGTTTTAATGAAAATGCCATCCTTTTAGAATTTAATTCTTATTTCAAAATATCAGAATTTGGCATTTAGTGGTGGTAGGTATTTTGAACTATCTTTTCTATGACACAGAGCTTAGAACATTTCACAGGTTACACATTTTATTTTTTTGTCAAGTTATTACACCTTCTTGTATTTTCTTCTCCATGTTACACAAGCTGAAATATCTGGTAAGTGCCCATCTCCTGTTTTCATGCAACATTACTAGAAACCCTCTTCACCAGGTTTCTTTGTTCCTCCTCCTTTTCATTAACCATGCATAAATACATGGAATTCCTCTTAATATTTTTGGGTAGGTCAGCTGTACCTAGTCAGTAGCTGAAGCCAAAAGAAGCTGCAACTCTCCTAAAGAGTGAAAGTGTATGGGCTTTGTGAACATTATTTTCCTCACTGTCCCAAAGCACGTGCACTTTACTCTTGTAGGAGCAAGGTGCTTTGTTTTTTATTTGTTTTGCCTACTGTCAAATTTTGAGCACTTCATTTAGTGCCTAAGTGTATCCTTTTAATAATCTAAACTCTGTGAAACTGATGGCAAACTTATTTAATAATAGCAGCTCCTTTAGAGAAAGTCAAATGTCATTTATACTTGTCCAGAGAAATTAAAATGGTCTATCTTGAATTAATATCTTGTGAAATATTTTTCTTGGATGTACCCTAAAATAGCCTAAAGGTAAATCCATAAGAAGAGTTCCCAGTGATAGAACATACTAGAACAGGTCTACTTATTAGTCACCTTTGAAGGAAATATAATTATATTGTTTACTTTAAAGTTTTAAAATATCTACAGTAATGATTTATGTAGAGCTACAATATGCACATGGACATTAATGACCTTATATGGAATTATCATAAATAGGCCTTGTTCAAGAGCAAAGAATGTATTAAAATGATGCATAAAAAATAACAGCTAATGCAGAAAAGTTGTAACTACAAAAAAGTCACAAAAGGGTTTTGTAAAGATAGTTGAAAACTTTTAAAGTATTTTTTCAGCTCAATTTGTCTATTTATTAAGAGTGGTTTACAAAGACTAAATTTTCAAAGTTCGTGGTATCTCCCATTATAGTAGGATATTGGTATTTATCCAATTCATACAAATGATCAGTTTTCAAATGTGCAGCTCACATTTTTGAGCTTTAACCAATACATATATATATATATAAACTATATATACACAAAACTGTGTATACACACAGTTTTCAATTATGTATTAATATCATCTAGTAGATGCAAAATATCACAATTATGTCTCAAAAGTACATGTGCCAGATAACTGCTGATGATTTATAATTTTATAATAGGTGCCAACAAAGAATTAGGTAATCACATTATCTACCTATCCCAAAATGTCTTAGAAGCTCATTAGAAGTAAGTATAAAATACTATTTCTTCATTACTTGACCAGAATCCAAAGGTTTAAGGAATGGGTTGACATGTTCCCACTGTCTTGAACCAACAGAGGTGTATGTACATGACTGTCCTATCAGGTGGCTTTTTATTAATTTTATCAGTAAAAAGAGCAATAAAAGTGATTAGACACATTGTACCACCAGTGGTTCAAGCCACATGATGGGACAGTCATATATGTATCAGTGGTGGTTCAAAATGCCCAACAACTACACATAGGAATCAATGGCCCCGTCCTGAATGTGTTAAGACAAGGCCATGGTCATTCAGTGAAGTCACTCACTGTTTATTCAAATCAGCACTTGTCACATGCTAAAGTCCCAGATAAAGTGTTATGGATTCAAAGTAAGCAATATATGCTCTCATAGAATACTTTTTAAAAAAGCTCATTCACTAGAGAAACATAATTGTTGAATTAACATACAACTGGAATTTATTAAAAATTATTACTTTATAAGTAGATTATTAAATGTAAGACAGTAACACAAGTCTGTATTCAAAAGATTCTAGGCTCAGGCATGGTGGCGCACGCCTGTAATCCCAGCACTCGGGAGGCTGAGGCAGGAGGATCACTATGAGTTCAAGACCAGCCGGGCTACATAGTGAGTTCCAGGTCAGTCTCAGCTAAGTAGTGAGACGCTGACGCAAAAAAAAAGATGCTAAAAGCTGGGCATGATAGTGTGAACCTGAAATCCCAGCACTGGGGAGGCTGAGGCAGAAGGATCACTTCAAGTTCAAGAACAGGCTGGGCTACACAGTGAGTTCAAGATCAGCCTGAACTACACAGTAAGACCCTGTCTCAAAAAACAAAACAAAACAAAAAAACCCCACAAATGATTCTAAAAATAAATTTGGCAAAACTAGCTGGAAAAAAACTAATCAACCGACACTATTAATACACAGTATAAAGTTTTTTAAGAATTTTGGCAAAGAGAAAATGAAAAAATGGAAATAAAGTCTTTGTAAACGGGGAGGAGAGGAGGGGGTGCAGGGAGGGCAGAGACAAGGGGAAAAATGAGAACCAAGACCTGTCATGCAAAGGTACAAGATTCCAATAATGAATGTAACTGTACCATATACCTAGAATGTACCAATAAACTCAATTAAAAAAATAATAATTTTGGCCAAGAAAATAAATACATAAAAAATGTTCAACATCACTGGTCATCCAAGAGATGCAGATGAAAACAACAATGAGATTCCACCTCACCCCACAAAGAATGGCTGCTATCAAGAAATCAACCAATAACAAATGTTGGTGGGCCTGTGGGGAGAAAGGAACCCTTCTCCATTGTTGGTGGGCCTGTGGGGAGAAAGGAACCCTTCTCCATTGTTGGTGGGAGTGCAGACTGGTGTAACCACTGTGGAAATCAATATGGAGATACCTCAAAGAACTAGGACTAGAGGATCCATTTGATCCAGCTATCCCTCTGCTGGATGCCTCTCCAAAAGAATTAAAAGAATCATACCACACTGATACATGTGCACCCATGTTTATAGCGGTACAGTTTGTAATAGCTAAAACTTGGAAATAACCCAATTGCCCATCAGCTGGAGACTGGATAAAGAAGATGTGGCTTTTCTATAAAACGGAGTAGTACTTAGCCTTCAAGCATGAGAAACTAGAGTCATTCATAGGAAAATGGATACATATTGAGGCCATAATCTTAAGTGAAATAAATAAGACACACATGTAAATACCAAAAAGTTTCTCTGGTGTGAAAAACTAAAAGTGTAAATAAGATCCAAACTGTATAACTGACAATGTGAAATACAAAGAAAAGGGCTAAAGGTAAGTAGAAAGGGTAGGGGAAAGGAAATAAGGGAAAAGAAAAAATATGAGAAAAGGGAAAAAAACGGAAACAAAGTCTTTGTAAGTAGGGGAGGAGTAGGGGTATGGGGGAAAAATGAGAACCAAGATCTGTCATGTAAAGGTACAAGATCCCAATGATAAATGTAACTACTGTATTCTTAAAAAGTACCAATAAACTCAATGAAAGAAAAAGTTTTGGCCAAGGGCTAATGTAATAAAGCAGATATATTTACTACTTGACAAATGAATATTCAACTGTGCCTGTCATAAAATACTGATATTAAATTTTTAAATTAGTTTAGTAGATACCTAGTAAACATTTCTAAACTAGAAGTATTTGTTTTATAAAAATCCACTGAGAACAATCTGAAGCACTCCATCAGAAATGGACTATATATTTCACATTAAATTTTGGCCCATACCAAATGGCTTAAATTCATTTCCAAATCTAGATATTGATAGTTCACTGGAAGTATCATAATAGAGAATAAATTGTATTTAGCTTTTCCTTAAATCAAGAAATTGATGGGAATTGTCTTCTAAGTAATTCTACTGGAACTGAATAAATTTTCTATTTCCATCGACAAAAGAAACATATTAGTGGTATAAATAAAAACATCAAACCAATGTGGTTTTGTCAAGAAGATGAACAAAAAAGTTATTTGAATGATTAAGGTGGACATGGGCTACATAGCTTGCTTTGGAGCTTTGAAATGAAATTTGTTTTGAAAAAGCAGCTGTTTTCTACCATATAATTTTTAAAGAGTAATTTGGTAACTGAAGTCAGAATTTTTTTATTAAACAATAGGAAGTTCTGAAATGATCAATTCACTTTACCTTTTAACCTTTTCAAGTACACTGGAACATCACTTTTAATACTTTTGGAATCTTCTTCTGTTCTTTCCCATACCATTTGAGGAGGGTTGTTTTGTGCTAGCCAGTCAGCTACTTTGTTTTCTGGTGCCATCATTCCTGTTTGAATTCCCGGCAAGTCTTGAGTGCCTGGAGAAGACTTCTTTGACTTGTGGCGTTGATCAGAAGTAAATTTTGTCACATGATCTCTAATAGTTACCTTCCCTGGGGTACTGTCATCAAATTCAATGGTAAATGAAGCATGCCCTGCACCTGTTGTATGGGAACTTGGTGTGTCTTTTGTTGGAATTTCATGAATAGTGCTCTCTGTTATTTGTGATAGTTGCTGAAATTCTTTTGTAGGGATTTCAAAGTAACTTGGTTCCCTACAGAAAGGAAAAAGTACTTCTTCATTTGCAGCTGCAGACTGTTCCTCAACTTGCTTGGCATCTATGCTGCACCCTAATGAGGAAAAATAAGAAAGAATTCAAAATATTTGGGAGCATCTAGCATTTGAGGAAGATCAGTAATGACCACTGTATTACTCTGCAAGAATAAGAAAGGTAGATCATAATCTGGATGAAAAACAACAGCATTTGTATCTCAGAAAAAAAGGTTAAGTGAGAAGAAAGAAACTTGACTATAAATAGGCCATTCAATTACCAACAGGAGATGCAATGTAAGTAGTAGCAATAGTAAAAGATAACAAAACAGTTAAGAGATGGACCTTGCATGGGTAGGTCCAATAATTTTTCCAACACAGATCAAGAAATCATCAAGGTACAAAGGGATTGAAATTAAATGTAGATGGAGATACACGATATATATATTATATATAGTATAACAGTGACAGGAAAAAGCACGAGTTTCTCTCAAAATGGCACAACTGAAATGTACTTGAAATGTCTATGAACAAATATAGAGAGCTCCAATGGAGAACTGATACTCAAAATGAGGAAATAAACATGAAGTAAATGTGTAAGCAAAGTTCTAGAAGTAATGATTCCACTTAGCATTCCTTACCATTATGATTAGAGACACTACTTTTAGGATAACAAAAATATGTGATCCTTGCAAGACATATACATTTCATAAAGACTAAAAGAGTGGTTAGATGAAACATGAGATGACTTACAACATGAACATCCAACCAACATGAAAGAAATAAGGTAAAAATAGTTACTGTCTATCAATAACTCTGAAAGAAAATTAGTTTGCATTTCTCTATAGCAGAATGAATATAAGTGTCAAAAATACTTGGAAGCTGAATTGTAAGCCTCAGATTAACAGCAAGATTTAGAAAGAGCAAGCATCTCTGGGGCACTATCAGTACTCTTCAGTTGTCTCAGAACTCAAAATAAAAGTATGAAAATAGATGCATTTCAAAATAAAATGCATAAAGGTATGTAAATGAAAATGATAAGATGCTAAGTACATGTTATTAGTACAAATGCAAAAAATAGAGATTAAACTGCCTTACTGAGGAAGTAAAAGAGCCACATCTATTCTCAGAATGGTACATTAATTAAGAATGAGTTAAAACAAAATATATGTCCCTAAGGCTCAAAAATTCAGTTTTTAAATAGATTGATAGAAAAATCATTGAAAGACAATATATCAAGAAGAAAAACAATAATGCACAGGAAAACTAAATTGATTCCTATTATTTTCTAATTAAGTATTTGGTTTTTTGAAATAGCTTTTCAAATATTTTATCCTGGAGTGATTCATCCAGTGCTACCACTGATTTCTTTAAAGTACTCTTAATATGAAATAAACATAAACCAATTTACTTTTAGTTTATAGAAGAGTGGGACAGTAATATCACTGAAATCAAATGTGTGGGGTAGGATATAGAAGGCAGCAAGTTTCGTTTCTAAAACCACCACCTCCACCATCATCACCATCATCATCATCATCATCCTCATCATCGCCGCCACCACTACCACCATCGGGCAATAATTTTCAACATAAATATTACTTTTTTCAAAATCTACTGTTTTGCTTACCACCAAAAATGAAAGAATATTGGCAAAATTCTACATTGTCAGAGTGATTACAAAGATAAGATGAAAAACTAGACAAATGGCCTCAAAAATACAGTGCTCAAGTATATTCAATAGGGTAGTCTGACACACTTGAAAAGCTCCTGAGGACACCACAGTAAACTACCTAGTTTGAAAACAGATGCTCATGATAACTCTGAGACAAATAAATAATTCAAATTTTACTCCGCCTTCTCTGAGAAGGAGATGATATGGGTAATGCATGTACTAGAAACTTAGGAAGTAGTTAAAACTTAAAATTTTTTAAAAAACCCCATCAGTTGTAAAAGTAAAGTTCAATCTTCTGGAAAATTTATTATGTGAAGGTAGATACATTTCTCTGAAGATGATAAAAACTGAGTAAGTGGTTCTACTAGAAAAATTATAAGAAGTCCTCTAAATGAGAATAAAAAAATAAAAGTTCTCCTCATTCAGAACACTGAAAAAACACATTCTGGAACTTACTTTCATTTCTCTTCAAAACTTATTTTGCTTATATCAAATTAAACTGCATATTATATAGTAAATGTTTGTTTATACTAATACTTTATTAGTTTTAATTACTAGATTTCAAAAATTATTTAATTACTCATTATATTAGAATTAATTTAAATCAGAAGAGCAACTTGGTATCTGCTTGTTTTTTAAAGTATTTTGACTCCATGACCTTTCAGAGATACTTCTAATAAACACAAGCCAGAATAAATGTTCTTTTATTCTTCTGAAATAAAGTAAATATAACGTTCAACTATTTGAAGATGATAAAGATTAATTATCATGGCTCATTCTGCTTAAAGATATCTACAGATAGCCAGTGAGCTTCAAGGTGAACAAGAATGATGTCAGAATAATCTCACATGACCTGCCAAGGAGTGTGATAAACAGGCAGCCCACTCGGGAACCTCTGAGAGGACAGTAAGAAGTAAGATATGTTAAGAACTTTTGGGAAAGAACTCTCAAATTCTGGGAGATCTCTGGCAAAACTTCTGCCCTTTTCTGCTGGATATAATCAAAGCAACATGTACTCTGAGTGCTGTGATCAGGCAGCCCGTAAGTGTGAAGGGAAACTCTCAGTATGAACCCACTGTGGACAACAAGACTGAACAATGGTGACACGAGCTAGTTAAATGCTTTTTACACAATGTTCCATGGAACAACCCTGACATGTTCAGCTATGCGAGCCAGTAAATTTACTTCTTGTTTAGTGTCAGACAGCAGTTATTTACTTCTGAAGGCATGATAAATAATATAAAATAATGATCTGGGCATGAAGAAAACTTTTGGTGAAAGAAAGCAAGCTGTGTCAGAAATTTATTCGCAAAGTTGACAAACTCAGTTTGGGGCACCATAAGGTCATGTTGTTAAGGCCAGCTTTCTTTATGTCTATCCTGGTGTAACTAACCATAATACATCTAAGAAACAATGTGTTTACTCTTAAGAAAACTGTTGTATTTATTTTGTAGAACTAGGATCAAAGGCAGAAAATTGAGATGATTCTGGAGGAATTTATCAGACTAAGTCTTCAGTCCTGAGCCTTGATCCTGCACTCAATTCCTCCAGTTTTGGGTACTTATCTGCTGTTATCAATCGAAACTGGCTGCTCCATCCTTCTGTTCCGATGTCATTTTAATACCCTTATGTGACAGACAATAGAGACCTCTATTTATTTCCTGAAAATCTTGATTTTTCCTGCTTTACGGACAATTAGTGCACCAGTGAACCACTCCATCAACAAAAGAATATGTTCCTTGACTAATTTAAGAATTTGATCCACAACAATTTCTTCACTCTGGCTGAACTCAATAATCTTGTTGCTACCATGTTTTAACAAAATGAACACTCTCACGTTTTAAAGAAATTGTTACCATTTCACATTTGTGAACAGATGAGAAACTGTTCATTTTAAAATATGAACATTTGCTTGTGAACTGAATGGCAACACAAAATTCATTTATTTATACCTAAGATTCTGGTCAAATCTATTTTAATAATTATTTTTAAATATTTAAAATGTTGCAGTTATATTGTTGATCTATGTTGTATGTTTTAACAATCTAATAAACTGGAAAAATATGAATAAAAGTACTTTGTATTGAAAATACTACTTCATGTGAGTCAATAATAATAAAGAAATTTATACTAAAATAAGAGTGCCATTAAAACATTCATCAACTTACAAAAAAAAAAGCAAGCTACACAACAGGAGATCACTTCTTTTTAGAGTAGACAGATTTTTGCTTAGACTGCAAATGTTTCTTAAAATACCCATGTAGTGTCACAGTCATTGAGATATTTTTACCTGATGTTCCAGTTTCATGACTTTTTTCTTCAGGTTTTCCATTTGACTTGAAAGCTCTTTGTTCATCTACTTCATCATCCCCCCACCATGATGGCTGCCCATATAACGGAGTACCACGGGGCATAGCAGAAACATCTAGAAAGAAGTAGGAAAAATCTGTCTAAAGCATGTGAAACAACAACAAAATACACTTTCACAGAATGCTAGAAGTTTCTAGTTGATTAAATGCAAATAAAGTAGTCTAAATAGCTGAAAAGTACTCTACATTAAGTAACAGTATTTGTGTAGGATCTTATACAATGTTAGACCCAACTTAAATGAAAATTTGCACTGGCTGGTATCTAAGTAATGCAACCTGCGCGCGCTCTCTCTCTCTCCTATCAGGTTTTTGCTAAAGTGTTAAGAGTTCTTACTGAATCACAACAAATGACCTTTGTCTTGAATATTCAGACGACAGCACCCTCAGCAGAACAAGACTGTTGAAATTAGGTAGTAATCAACTGGGAAAGAATGAAACCAGTCTGATCAGAAGGTTCATTAAGCCAAATATAAAAGTAGAAACTAAAATAAATTTTGGCACGAGTAGCCATTGTCTACTTTTTTTTTAAAACTCTAAGGGCACTGCACAGTAACTAAATTTAAACTAGTTATTAACAGAATAGTTTTATTTGAACAATTGTTGTAATGTCTACCAATTTTAAAGTGTTTCCTGAATGAGATTTATGGAAAATGTATTTATAGTTCATAGAGATATTATGAGTATTGCTGATGTAGCATTAGATTTTATATTTTTCCTTTTATTTCAGTTATAATTTAGAAGAAAAATGTAAATGGGAAATAATGTATTTCTATAAACTACAATTATAAATTATATTTTCTTCAAATATTTAAACTATATTTATATTTCCTTTAAATATGTACATATAGTAAGTGCACACACATAATACGTATATGTAAATACATTTTATAATGCTTTCATTAAGCATTGGTTGCACTAAAATGCATTCTAGAATCACTAGTAGTCTAAATTATTTTTACATGAACATGGCCAAATTTTTGAGAAATAAATTTCTGCAAAATCAAGGTAAGTCTGATGTTCTCAAAGGCAGAAGCTTACCCACGGCTTTTTCCTCAGATTTCAGTGCTTCTGTAGGTTTATGCTGCACTTCTGTAGCAGTATCTGCTAGCTTTGAATCAATGCTTTTGGCACTTGCAGATTTTGATAATTCTGATTCTGAAGATTTTTGGGACAACTGAAGCTGAATGGTAAACTTCTCATGCTACAAAACATTTAAAAATGAAAATGAGACATCCACAAATAAAGTCAACTGTACTGAACGGTAGATTCACAATAGAGGGAAAAACTTTACCTTAAGAGCTTCTTCAGGGACTCTCATTTCCCCTCGTACTACAGTAAAAAGATTTGTATGTAAACAAGGCTAAGGAAGAATATAACTTCAAAACTGTGGCAAACAAGTTTAAAACAGTCATGAAATGTGATTAAGAAATCATCCTCCTCAGTATAGCAACACAATATAGCAATTATAGTGGAATTACAATATATCCCTCTAATGTTAAAATATATTTACAAATATAGAACTTATTTTTAAATACTAAAATTTGTAAAATGTTAACAGTATTTCTAACTTTAGCTACTACTAGCCTATAAGAAGCAATTCACAATTGGAGTACAGACATTTTAAATTTTCACAACAATATGATATGTGCAATGAAGGAAAAACATTTGGATCCACTTATATTGATGGCTAGTCAAAAAATGTAAAAGAATTAGATACTAAGTTATTATTTAAGAGCAAATCCTGAAGAAATTTAATTACTTAGACTTTCACAAGACTGATAAAAATGAAGTTTATTTTGCATGTGCAAAAGAAACACTATAATTATTTTTCCCATGTATTACAATCAAGATCATATTACATTATCAAACAACTGATCCTATTTAGATTGGAACCCAGGGCTAGATATAATGAATGCTTTCATTATTATGCTAAAAAGAACAATGACTACGAATATTTAAAAACATCTATTCACTAAAGCATAGAGGTCACATTTCTCACCATTACTTATTCCTATAATGAAAGGACCTTTATAACCACGTATGTACTAAATTCTATTCTTCTTTGCCAATTCAAAGCACTCATCAATCACTTCAAGGGTAAAAACTGGGAAAAAAAGACTTCCCAAGCATGATGGAAGCAGTAAATTTTTAAGTGTATTTTTAGTCCACGTTTCTACTTGTTAAAATAAAAACTTGATTTATTTTTTTATTTATTTATTTTTTTTAGAATAGTAAGGAGCTCTGAAGAATCTATTGTTCAATTCCATTATCTTTCTTCCTGTAAAGAGCTTGGGATTGGAGAGACAGAACCCAAAACAAGAATCTAGCTATAGAATCCTACTCCAGAGCTTTCCCATGATTTTACATTTTCCCCACAGCTTTGAAATATTAAAAAGTGGCTTTCCTGTAATGTACATATGCTGATACATACTTGCTAGTACATATGGAAATGTTTCTCATAACTAAGTATATCAAATGAAAAAGTGTAGTAAATTTTTAACTAAGAAATTCATTAACAGCTAGAGATGAGTCCTACTTTTCAGTGGAAATATGTTTTAAGTTAAAAACTTCTATTTTCCCAATGGGAATCATAATTTTAGCTTGTGGTGAGGACTTCATGGTGCTTTTGCTTTAACTTTTCGGAATGAAGGTTATTCTTCACTTGTCTGGGGTATCCTCTTAAGACTTGGACATATTTCAGGTCAGAGAGAATTTTAGGGGCCATTTTTCTTAAGTTCAGACTTTACCTCCAGACTCTTCAGTGTGAAAATGAAGACCTTAAGAATCCTCTTGCATAAGTCATGAATTTACCTGAAGATCTGATATGCAATTTGAGGCTTCTAGAACTGGTTTTTATTGCCAAAGATACCCAACTTTTTTTTAATATTCTCATTAGGAATATGAGAATATTTTAAACTTAAACTTTAATAATAAAATAATTATGCTAAATTAGATGCTACACTGCATTAATAAGGCATGTCCTAGGAGTTACCAAAGTTAAAAACTGTTAATGGCAGAAAACCATCTAAGGGAAAAGTTTCATTTATTTATTTTCTCTCATTGAGTTTATTGGTACATTTTAGGTATGCAGTACAGTTACATTCATTATTGGGATCTTGTACCTTTACATGACAGGTCTTGGTTCTCATTCTTTCCCCTTACCCCTGCCCTCCTTTCACCCCCTTCTCCCTTCCCTATTTACAAATACTTTATTTTCATTTTTTCGTTTCCTAGTATTTTTTTCTTTCCCCTTATTTCCTTTCCCCTACCCTTCCCACTTCCCCTACACCTTTACCCCTTTTCTCCCTATTTCACATTCTCAATTGTACCATTAGGATCTTATTTATGATTAGTTTTTCACACTAGAGAAACTATTCGGTATTTACACGTGTGACTTAATTATTTCACTTAAGAGTATATTCTCAATATGCATTCATTTTCCTACGAATGATTCTAATTTCTCATTCTTTATGGCTGAGCAGTATTCCATTTTATAGAAAAACCACATCTTTATCCAGTCTCCAACTGATGGGCAAATTTTTATCTATTTGATTAACTTTGTTTTCAAGGAAAAAATGTCATTTTACTTTTGAACAACTTTCCAACAATTGATTTTAACTTTTCTTCTATCACTTCATTCTTTTATTCAATGGCTCACTTCCATTAATCGCAATTGTGTTATTTCAAGGTTTCAGAAATGTCATTTAGTTTTCAGATCTGGAAAGTGTTTTAAGATTTGAGGAAAGTGACCACACTAATCAGAAAAGTTATGAACTTCTTTGGATGAAAATATTTTAATTTTTAATTATCCTTACCTCCCTACTAATCATTGCAGCAGCCATTATCCAGATTGCTCAGCAAACAGTGCTACATATACTGTTCCAAGTATACAATACAACAATGTTTTATTTTTCCCATTTTCTAGTATTGATCTTCCTCATGATTTTGTAATTATGCACTAATAGATAACTTCTTGAGGAAAAGATATGAATCTCCATTTTAAGAAAAAAAGGAACTATGCTTTTATAACTTATATGATGGGGTAATGATAAGCAGAGATCTTAAGATTTCAAGCATTTAAGCAAGATTTAAATAATTTCTATCAACTATGTAAATCACACTGTATTTTGGGTTTCCTTCTCAGTAGTGGTTCTTTCTTTTTTTCTTGGTCTTTTTTATTAGTCCCTCACCTCTCCTAATTTTTAATATTATAATGTAACTTGAATCCTTGGAACCTTATACTTATTCCTTTGATCTCAGGTTCAAAGTTTTAAATATTATTTACACAATGAAAATTCTCAAATTTCTGTTAGCCTATACTTCTCCCCTGGATTCAACTGGTATATCCAATATGTCAAGCTCAGACTTGCTTCTGGACAAGATGAAATACAGGGAACCAGATTAACTCCCCTACTTGAAACAAAATAGGCAAAATGTATGGCTTGCCAGATACCTGGCATCAGGCTACCAAAGACAATGACTCCTGAGAAAATGAAAACAAAATTCAGATCACTACCCTAACTCCCTACACTGAGTTTACACTTCTCAGTGCAAGGGAGAGAAATCCAGGCAGAGCCTGACAGACTTCCTGCATTATAAGGGAAAAGAAGTTAAGGGACAAGTATTTCAGAGAAGCTACACAGAGAATCCCAGTGACGTTCACAAGATTTCACTCCAGCATTCAGTTGAGTATGGATCAGCTTATGAGAAAACTAATGCAGCTGGAGCAAGAACTATGTATTAGAGGTAATCCTACCCAGGGCTCACAAAGGGACAGAAATACATTCATACCTGCTTTTGGAAAACCTCATGATCCATAAACTACTGGGTAAGGCAGAAATCAACAAACTTTTTCTGTAAAGGGCCAAATATATTATGTAAGGCTTTCAGGCCACATGATCTGTTTCACCTATTCAACTGTTCTACGGTACAGTATAAAAGCAGTCATAAGAATATGCACATTAGTGAACACAGCTGTGTTTCAGTAAAATAGGTTGCATATCCGATTTGGTCATTAGGTTTGCTGATCCCTACAGAGTATATGAAAGATCTTGATTCAAAAGTAGAAATAATTAGTCCAAACAAATCTTAGAAGCCCAACAATATTTATTTCCTATTTGTAGTACTGGAGATTGAACTCTGGGCCTTTGCACTAGGCTATAATCCCAAGCTGGTTTTTTTTCTTTTCTTTTCTTTTTTTTTTTTAAGACAGTATGGCCCAGGTTGAGCTTGAACTTGTGATACTTCTACCCCAGCTTTCCTGACTGCTGGGATTATAGACTCTCATTATCATTTCCACCTAAATCCAACAAATTTTAGCAATTTGTGTCTCAGAACAAAGCTCAGAAAATTTACAGCAACACAAAAGTTTATATGTAGCATTCAACAAGGTAAATGTAAGAATACCAGACGTCTAGTAAAAAATTATGCATACATACTACTACATGCAAAAAAAATCCAACCAACTAAAATTAACCCAAAAATGATATACTAATAAAGATTTTAAGTTATTATAATCATATCCTATGTTCAAAAGTTAAACAGAAACTTAGAAAGTATGAAAAACAAAATCTAAGTTGAACTTCTAGAGATAAAAATTACTGTGTGAGAGGAAATATATACTGGATGGGTTAATGGTAGATTAGATTGTTATCTAAGGAAGATCAGTGAACCTAAAGACATAGCAACAATAATCCAAATCAAATCAGAGGGAAAGGATAATTTTTAAAAAATGGAGCATCAGTAAGCTGTGAGATGACTTCATGCAGTCTAATACATTTAATGGGAGCCCTTGAAAGTATAGAGGATAGAAACAAGCATTTGAATAACAATTTTTTAAATTTGATTCAAGTTATAAAGTCATAGATCCAAGAAGCTCAATAAACTCCAAGCACAAGAACCACAAAGGTACCATAATCAAATGGCTCAAAATGAGGAATTACAGGAAACAACAAAAATAAGAATAGAGTGGAGCAAAATCTTAGAAATGTCAATCTAGAATCCTATATTCAGCAAAAATAACTCTGGGTCACCAAGGTGAAACACTTCCAGACATAGAGGTGAAAGAACTGATCACCACCAGTGGAGCCACAGTATGAGAAATGTGGACTGGGTAGGTATCATGACACGCACCTGTCCTCTCAGATTCTCTGGGGCAGGAAGATCTCAAGTATGAGGACACCCTGTAATATAAGGAGACCCTTTCTCAAACAGCAACCATAAAAACAGAAATAATACTGAAGGAAGGACTTCAGGCAGGTGAAAATATGGACCTGCATAAAGGAAAGAAGAGCATCAGAAAAGGCAGCTTTATACATGGGAAGATATGAGTATATATAAGAGTAAAAATAGATTTTATTTAAGATCTTTTAAAAGGATAACTCTCTTTTTACTAATAAAATGCAATAGAGGTTTATGACATGTAAAAGTAAACTGTATGATACCATAGCACAGAAGCCAAGTTAGAAGAAAACCTATTACTGTAATTGTCCTATACAATATATGAAATGGTGTATATCAACTGGGGATATCTTATTTTTTTGGTACCGGGGATTGTACTTGGGACCTTGAACTTGTGAGACAGGCGGCGGAACAACTGAGCTAAACCCCTGGCCTGAGATACAACTTCTTAAAGATTTAAATCCTAAAACTAGTACTAAAATAAATTTAAAAGGGAAAGAGGTCATAGCTAATAAGCTAATGAAAGATATAAAATGGAATTATAAAAATATTTAATAATCCAAAAGAAATTTTAGGAGAAATACAGAACATAAAAATGACAAGATAAATAGAAGACAAATGTCAAGATGACAGATTTAAACTTAAATCATCACAGTAAATGTGAACAGTCTCAATCCCCAAGTAAAGGAAGAAATTTATACTGGATTAAAAAGAATACGTCCATACTGCTTAATTTAAATGTAATGATATAAACAGGTTAAAAGTAACATAATACAAATTGATACATTATGCTAATAAAAAAACTGGAACAAATATATTAAAAACAAGGCAAACCAGATTTAAGAAAAAATAATATAAAGAATAATAAAGGTGGTCAATTTAATTCCACACAATAATTCCAAATGTGTACATACCTCAAAACAGAGCTTCAAGTTTCACAAAGCAAAACTTGTGCAAGGAGAAAAAGGCAAACTCACATTTAGAGCCTGAGATTTCAAGACCTTTCTCTGTACAGAACAGATGTCAGTAAAATTTGTTGGCCTTAACAATACCACCAAGCTAATTGGACCTAATGAGCATTTATGCATTCAACCCAAACAGCAGAATGCATATCCTTTCAAAGTACGTATAGAATATTTATCAAGATAGATCAAATTCCAGTCCATAGAACAAGTCTCAATAAATTCAGAAGGATTTGAAATGTAACAAGTATTTTCACCAAACACAACAGAACTGAATCAGAAGTCAGCAACAAAAAGATCTCTGCAAAACTCAAAAAATATTTGGAAATGATATACAATAATAACCTATGACTCAAAGAGAAAAATCAGAAAGTGTTCAGAACACTAAAGGAGTACTTGGTGGAAATCTTATTAAACTGAACACCTGTATTAGAAAAAGATGGTCTTGAATGACTTCAGATTTCACCTAGAATAATGAGGATGTCAGAATACAAATAGAAAACAAAAATACAGCAAACTCAAAAATTATTTTCCCAAGAAAAGTGACTTCCCTTTTTACCCTCAAAGCCTGTTCGGCCCACAGAATTCTCTATATCAATTAATTGAAGATTTGTGTTTCCTAAGTCCTCTTGGATTCATATTTTGACTCTTCTCACTTTACATTCAATCTAATTAGAAAGCCTTACTAGCTCTATCTTCAAATACAGAATACTTTCATTTTTCTTACTATCATCACATCTATTATAATAGTTTAAACCTCCTTTACGCACTTGTACTACTGCATCAGAACTGATCTGTCTGCTCGTCCCATCTCCAACCTTAGTCTTCTATGAACAGGAGTAGCCTGAAGATCATCTTAGACATAAGCCATATCGTCACTCTTCTGACCCAAAACACCAAATGTCTCCCTTATTTGCTCAGTATAAAAGTCAAACTCCTTATTTTCTATTAGGGCTGATACATTCCGACTACTGATGTGTTAAAGTTCTTTGTTGACTCCAAACACACTGGCTTTTAAGGGCTGTTTCTCAAACACGCCAATATATGCTTCTACTTCAAGTGTTTTGCCAGTGCCAGTTAACTCTTCCAATTGCTTGAAAAGCAATTTCTCCCAAAATCCATATGGTTAACTCCCTCCTTTTCTCTACATCTCTGCTTTATTGCTGGTTTCTCAATCAGGATTTCAGGAATATCCTTTTTAAAAATTTCACTTCCCATACACCAGTGCTAGCTCTCTGTAGCCCTCTTTAATTTTTCCCTGATAGAATTTATAACTAATATGCCCACATTTTGTGTGTGATTTGTGCTCCTCCAACCCCATTATAGTGTAAGTTCCAGGAGACTGCAGACTCCTTTATATCCCTAGACCAGGCCTGGCCCATAAACACAGTAATAAAGGTGAAATGAATGAATCTGTGACTCCTTATCACCCACATTTGGCTACTAGAAGACTGATTAGAACTGCAGCATGTTAGTACCTCTCATGAGTTTGCCATTTTGAAAATTTGGATATTTCACTGAATACATGTCCTAAATCATTTAGTTTCTCTATTATGAAAAAAGACATGGCAAATAAATAACGTTCCCCAGTTTTAATCTCAATCTATGTTAAAATGTTCATTCTATTAAGGTGACATTTTAATCAGTGAGTTTCTACCAACGTATAGCAGCTTGTAGACTTATTAATTTTAATATGAATAAATCACCAGTTTCTTTAGCTAAAATGAGTAAAATCAGTTTATATAATCTCATTTTATATAATACAATTTCTGCTACTGTAATTGCCCAATGTTTATGTATTTAACAGGCTCAGAATCATAAGCAATGAGATGTTATTTTACAATAACAACCTCGGTATTTAAAAAGTAGTTAGGGGCCAGGGATTTAGCTCAGTGGTTCTGCCGTGTGCTTCATAAATGTAAGGCCCCAAGTTCAATCCTCAGTATCAAAAAAAAAAAAAAAAAAAAAAAAAAAAAAAAAAAAAAAAAAAAAAAAAAAAAAAAAAAAAAAAAAAAAAAAAAAAAAGGAGTTAGGAGTTACTGCTCAAGACTGACTGTAAAAATCTAAGAAAGTCATTTGGGAGAAAACATTTGTATCACCATATTAGGAGCTAGTATGTAAGAAAAATAATTTGCTATTAAAGAGGTTTCTGTACAATCTATAAAAGTGTGGGCTATTTCTTCATAGTTTCTTCTTTTCTTTCTTTTTGAGATTGGCACTTTTGGGCTCAGGTGAAATAAAAAGGGAAAGAAAGCAGTCTTCCCTCTTGCTTCTTCAGAGATGCACCACTCTTTGCCATGATGGCCTTTGGACATTTGTCTATAGTTCCTTCAGGGTTCTAGCACAGACACTTCAGCCTTCAACACAGACCCTTCAGCTTTCTAATACAGACACATTGGACTCTAGTGAGCTGCAGGCTTTTAACTTTCAACTGGATCCTCTGACTCTGCAGGCCGCCAATTGTAAATCTACTTTGTAAATCCTACATATATATATATATATATATATATATATATATATATATATATATACACACACACAATCATATATATATACACACTCATATATATCATATGCATATATATCATGTACATGTTTCTAGTTTGTCTAGAGAATCCTAAATGATAGATTACTTTATAGTGTCAATTCATTGAGCATCACTGTACCTTAGTTGAAACTACTCTGCTAAAGTGATAAAGCCCCTTCAGCTTGCCAATGTTTTATATATTCTTTATTATCACGATCCAGATAAATGTAACTTAAAAAAATCAAACCTCAAAAGACATTCAACATAGTGTAGACCATCTGTATTTTAATTAAATTTAAGTAAGTTTTTAATAAAGCTTCCTGCCTTCAACAAATAGAAATGTTTTCTTCAGCTTCAATCATGTACCTTCCCTTCTCTAGGGATTATTCATGCTACTGTGTATATTTTCTTCTTACTCCATAATACAGTCAGGTCTCTATTAAGTCATTAGATTTATTTTTAAAACAAAAGAATTTTATACACTAAATGCACAATGCTCTTAACCAGGGAATGTCAGTCTTAGAATACGTATCATATTGAAAAGTTTCAATTATGTAGGCAATGTAGCTGTAATTCATAAAACAGAATAAGGATAGGAATGAAAGCAAAGATAGGTTTAAATTTTTACATAGGAAGTTGTTTCGTGTCATTATGAACTACCTATCCTTACAATGGACAAAAATTTAACGCTCCTCTGTCCTAGAACAGTACTACAGGGACTGCTCAAACTATACAAATAGAGGGACAAAGAAAAAGGTGTGCCCACCGACTTTTCCAGGACTACTTTCACAGACAGATATAGTAACTTAAAGTATGTATTTTTTAAGCTGGGCATGGTACTGCACACCTGAAGTCCTGCTTTGATCACAAGTTTGAGCCCAGCCTGGGCAACTTAGTGACTTAGGGACACGATGTCGCAAAACAAAAAATAAAGGACTGGAGATGAAGCTCAGTGTGAAGGCACTGGGTTTCATCCCTAGTACCACTCCCTCAAATTTATATACATATATGTATTTAGACATGTAGTGTTTTAGTATAGGAAGAAATCTGACAGAGAATTCTAGCATGTCAATATTGTAAATTCTTGTGTCTCAAGAAATGTTAATTTACACAGAATAAATATTCTAAACATATTTAATAAATGCACAAAATTATATAAGGATATCATATCCAAATCTCAGTTTATCTTCAAGTTTCAAGGTGATGTAAGTCTGTTCTGGAATCCTTATATCATTCACAAAAGTCTACAAAGAAAGAAGAAAAACTTTATGTTAAATATGAAATATTAATTCTCACAGTCCAGATGTTCAATTTCTCCAACTTGATACTTAAAAGTACATTATCATGCTGTGGTTCACATAGCTTGTGCATCATTAAGATGTGCCAAGCATCCTACAGTGTGATAAATTATTTCCTGTTTAGCCTGTTATCACTATTACTGATAACATACAAAGAACATGGTACTGTCAAGACATATACAGGCACATTAAACTCTTCCTAAAAATGATGGCAAGAAAAGCTGGCAAACTATAAAGAGTGAAATACTGAACTCTTAATGCACCATCCATAAGGGTTCACTGGACCCAATTTCTACTTCTTTCAAAAACTTCATTTGTGATAACTGGTATTTCATCACTCTTATTCCTGAATTTATTCCAAAGAACAAAAAGAAAGTTTACTTTAGAAAATAGAACAAAACTCCTATAGGTTCTCTGAATAATTTTATGAAGTTAGGATACATTATGGGATGGTAGAGAACTGATTTTTTCTGTATGTTGAGATTTTGGTATTTTGTTATCATGGTAAATATTTCGTCTTTACTCATTTATTTCCAACAATGCTAAAAATTGCCAAGATATTAAGACAAAAGAGTAACAGAAGTATTTAGAGCATTGTTATCCAACAGAAGAAATATAGAGCCAGCCAAAACAATGTATACAAACTCAGGAAAGGAAAAATAATGTAACGTTTTTTCAACACATGGTGTTACCCTCCCATAGGGCCCCCTGGGGGATGTCATATACTGCAGAAAACTCACTATAATGTTAGCCCCTATAGAAGAAATTGAAAATGTGCAGCAATCTCAATGGACCAAGGTTACCCAAGCAACAGTTCACCATATTAATCAATGTCTGGAAGTTCATGGCCACCCCTTTTAGCACCTCTTGTAACTTGTATTAGCACCAAAGGTAACTTGTGTTAATTTCATCATGTCTCAATATATTTAGCATTAAAATATTTATACAAGTTTTAATTTTTGTTAAGTGTGAATATATTCTGTGACGACTGTGTATACTGCAAGCCACAAATCAGGACAAATATTAAATATTAAATTAGGCATATAAAAAAGGTAACAAGAAAGAGGTAAAATCAGTTTTAATAACATAGTTTTAGTATAACCCAGTATATCCAAAGTAGTACCATTTTAACGAGTAATATAAAAAATTAGTAAGATACACATATATGTATAACACACATTTATATTTTTCTTTTTTGAGGACTAGAGCTGCGAGAAGCCATCTGTGAAGGCCCCAGTCCCACCCAGGCCTCCTGGCCACCAGCAGATCAACCTCCCCATCACCAGCAGACTGGTGAGGTAGGGAGCTGCATGAAGCCATTGGCATGAACCCCTCCCCCACCCAGGCCTACCCGCCAACAGCAGACTGGTGAGGATCTGAGCCATGCAGTCACTTCCAGAAACCCAGCCATCCCCCCACCCTGGCTTCCTGACTACATCTGTTCCTCATCTATAATGCAGGGGAAAAGGGGGGTCTTAATGTCCACTGCCCTGAGCAGAAGTGAATGAATAATAGTAAGACAGCTTTAATCCTAAATCCACATCCCAGAGGGTAAAGTTACTATACTTGATCAGTTTATTCATTAAAAACATTTTGGGCTAGTCTTCGATTTCATTTTATTTTACACGGTTAAAGGTGATAGATTAACAACTAACACAAATTGTCATTTTTCTAAGCTGTGTTTAATTCTATTGTTGTTGCTAATTGCATCACTTGGGCTAGTGTTGTGATTGATCTAATTAGTTATCTTTTCTGGTGTAATGAAAACGAGATTGCCCCAAAGTTATCAGAGACTCAAATCCTAAAGAACAGCTATATCTGGAAGACATCTCTGAGAAAGAATCATTCCTTAAGGGCTTTAAATACAAGCAACAAAGACAGCTACAATAAGTAATATCGAAGTATCAACCCAAAAATTAAACCAAGGACTGTACCAACAACAATAATAGAAATGAAAAGACATTTAAACAACACACAGTCTTCCAGCTCACCAAAGGAAAATTCTGGGGAAAACAAGATGGAAAAGTCTGATAATCAACCACCTGGACAATCTGAACTGATACCACAAGAAGTGAAAAAACAGGTGAATGAGACTCTACAAATATTCAAAACAAATAATTTCCCAGATTAAAGACATGATTATAAACTCTAGAACAGAAACAGATTAAAAAAAAATTGATGAGTTCAGGACCATAATGGAAGCCATGAATGTTGAGCATAGGAAAGAAATGGAAACCATGAAGCCCCAACTTAAGAAAGAAATGGAATCCATGAAACAGATTCACATTGATATCCAGAGATTAAAAACTCTTTTAAAAGTATACATAGTAGATTAACCCAACCTGAAGACAGAATATCAGATATAGAAGACAGGATAGCAGTCAGTGACTATGAAAAGGAAGATCTCTTAAAAATAGTAAGGGACCATGAGAAATCAATCCATCAGCTCCTAGATGATGCAAAGAAGAATAAGATTAATAGGAGTCCAAGAAAAAGCAAGACAATGCACAAATGACATTAAAAACAAAAACAAAAAACTGTTCACAGAATAGCAAAAAAAAACCTTCCCAAACGGAGCAAAAGAACTTGACATACAGATAGGTGAGGCATATAGGACTCCAACTAATTATGATAAAAAAATTCATACCTAGACATATAATAATCAAGATCCCAAAAACCCAACAAGAGTACAAAATATTACAAGCAGTTGGGAGAAAAGAAAAAGCCCATTAGAATGGAAAGCCCATTAGAATCACAACAGACTTTTCAACACTAATCCTCAAGTCAAGGAGAGCCTGGAAGTGAGGTATTTCAAGCTTTAAAAGAAAACAACCTCCAACCTATGCTGATGTATCCTGCAAAAGTATCTTTCAAAATTGATGGAGAAATAAGATACTTTCATGACAAAGAACACCTGAGAAACTTCATGAATACCAAATCATCACTCCAAACAACTTTTTAAAATATCCTAGAAAAAAGACAATGAAAAGCCACAACTCCATTAGGCCAAATAGAGGAAATCCAACAGACAAGAATTTAAAAGGAAAGGGAGAAAAATAAAAAAGAACCAACAACAGGAAAATAACATGACAATGATAAGTCACTACATACCAGTTATAACCATCAATGTCAGTGGCCTCGATTTACCAATTAAGAGAATAGACTGGCAGAATGGATAAAGTAGCAAAATCCAACAATATGCTGTAACAAATCCTCAGTAGCATGGAAACTAGCACAAAAAACAATTGGAATCTCATCTTTTAAAAGTTTCTGCACTGTCAGAGAAATGACAAGCAGAGCTAAGAGACAGCCCACAATGTGGGAAAAATTTTACCAGCTGTTCCTCAGACAAAGATCTACTATCTAGAATACATAAAGAACTTCAAAAAATGAGACCCCCCCCACCAAATATAAAGATCCAATTCAAAAATGGACATCTCAAATGAACAGACATTTCTCAGAAACAAAAGTAAAAGCAGCAAATAAACATATGAAAAAATATTCAACATCACCAGTCATTTGAGAGATGCAGATGAAAACAACACAGATTCCATCTCACTCAAAGAATGGCTGCTATCAAGAAATCAACCAGTAACAAATGTGACAGGGTTGTGGGGAGACAGGAACCCTTTTTTATTGTTGGTGGGAGTGTAGACTGGTGCAAACACTGTGAAAATCAATATGGAGATACCTCAAACAACTAGGATTAAAAGTCCCATTTGACCCAGCTATCCTTCTGCTGCGTATCTTCCTAGAAGAATTAAAAGATCATACCACACTGATACATGCTAACACATGTTTATAGCAGCACAGTTGTAAAAGCTAAAATTTGGAGAGAGCCCAACTGCCAATCAACTGGAGACTGGATAAAGAAGATGTGTTTTTTTTCAAAATCAAATGGGAGTACTATACAGCCATAAAGAATGAGAAACGAGACATTTATAGCTAAGTGGATGCACATTAAGGCCATACTCTTAAGAGAAATTAATAAGACACACGTGTAAATACCAAATAGTTTCTCTGGTGTGAAAAAGTGTAAATAAGGGTCAAAATGTATAATTGATATTATGTAATAGTGAGAAAAGGTCTAAAAGAGTAGAAGTGGGAGGGGTAGGGGAAAGGGGAGAAGGGAAAAGAAAAAAATATGTAAAAAGGAAAATCATGGAAACAAAGTCTTTGTAAACAGGGAAGGGTGGAAGGCGTGAAGGGAGAGCTGGGGAATGGGGAAAAATAAGAAGCAAGATAAATCTCGTATAGATACAAGATCCCTATGATCAATGTAACTGTACTGTATACCTAAATTGTACCAATAAACTAATAAAGATTTTAAAAAATGTTTAAAGTAGTCACATTTCAAGTGGTCAATAGCCACACATGACAGTGACTGTTGTAGTGAAAAGTAGAGACCTAGAAGGATGATACAAAACATTGTTTTATCACCCTTTAGTTTTCTTATTTTCAATACCCAAAATACTGCATCAGTTTTCCAAAAAGATATGAAAGACATATGGAGACACTACCTTTATAGGTTTTTGATGTTATCTTTAAACAAAGAGCACAACTGAAAATTAAAAATGTCTCATTTAATGTTCATGGAGCCAAAGAAAAGAAAAAGGAAGACATTTTGCAATTATAAAACAAATAGAGACAGACAGCAGCACTCTATGATCATTTACAATGATAAAACTGGTAACATGAATAAAATTATCGGATCATGTCTCTTCAGGTGAAAAGACTCCCACACAAATCTTCTCTAACGCAAGAAACAAGGAAAAGAGTATCTCCACAAACAAAAAGGAAATAAGGGATTTTCATCCAGTCAGTTGATGAATCTTGCAGTATTTTCTAGGAAGAACTGAAACCATTTTGCATTTTTAGAAGAAATTTTGACAACTGTTTCTCCTCTCCTTCCTCCCCCAATTCTCCTTCTTTCCTTCCTAGGTACTTATGACTTGTGTTCCAGCATTTATGGACAAAATATCAAGGTAAGTATAAAGGTTACTAGAAGCAAAAAAAGTGATGTAGGAATAAAATTACTGGACTAATCTACTTGCTCATAAATCTGAAGATAAAAACATTTCATAATTACATAAAAAAGTTAGGTATCCTCTTAACAAAATTATAAGCTGTTAAATTAAAAAACAAACAAACTGGTTTTGATCATGCAAGAGCATGAAGAACCAGGAATAGTTAAACCAGAACCGACCAGAGGTTGATTTGACATCTGGAATTAATATTTATAAAATGGATAATGTCCAGGTAAACACAGGACAATTGATGACCAGTTAGCTGCATTCAAAGAATACTGCCCATTTTGTGTATCATTGACTTTTAAAACTTTGAAAATATGAAATAAAAGCCTGCATTTGTCATGCCTAAATATTTATTAAAATTCCAAATTGTTTTCATTATCTTATTTCTCTGTAAGTTATTTGTAAAGATATATCCAAAATTTAAAAGGGCCAACTAAACACAACTGATAAATGGAGAGGACTAAATTTCCCGGCATTGTGGAAGTTAAAACACTTAGAATTTGCTCAATTATAAAACAAAGAAAAAAATACTGTACTTAATAGTACAGAATTCATACATCAAATTATAGGATGTTTTTGTAAACTGAGCTTTTACTCTTCTTTTTGTAATTCAATTTTTTAACAACCCATTTTAATTGAGATAGCCATTATTGTTTGGGAAGGTGAGGAAGGTGGGAAGGTGAAGAATAGTTAGGAAGTGAGAAGGGTTCTGAATGATGTGTACACAGAGGCTTATGTTATTACTGTCATCCTCCCAAATTTCTGTGCATAGCTAGCTCTTTGTAATGTGTCACAAAACAAATTAGAAAAAGTGGACATCTTAATTTCAGCCACAGATAAAGTGGAAGTCTAATACTACTAAAACTGTAGATCACACCTCACTGTGATTTACGACTAATTTTAAATTACAAGCTTCTTTCCAGCATGCACAGAAACATTGTAATGTGAGGAAAATCCTATTCTCTGGGATTTATAAATTCATTTCCAAAATAAATATTTCAAAGCATTTTAAAATTTAAGAATGCCACAATTCTGAGCCAGTTTCATTTAAATTTGTATGTAATAATTTGGAACACCATTTTAAAAGGTATACGATGACTCTTAAGATCAATTTAAAATTTAAGATTGCTCAATTCTCTCACTGATTGTGTGTACTAGGCCCTTCAGAGCTCATCAAACACGTAATTTTAACATGCTCCTATTTATGGCAGAAATGCTCCCTAAGATCAATACAGAGTTAGGAAGTAAGCCAGACAAAGCAGCTCACAAAAATGCAAGTTAAAACATCTGAGAGAAAAAATAGTATCCTGATGGTCTAAAATTGCAAAGAAACAAATTACCAAAGAGTAAGCAGCTGAGGAAAAAAATTCGTGCTACTACATCAAATATCAATCATATTGATAAAATACACATGAAAAGAAAAAAATTTTGTTCCTATGCAACACCATTTGATCACATCTCTAACTGGTAGGAAGAACAGATGAGAAAACTGAGACAGAAAGGGAAATAACAATTAAAATTTCAGAATGCACAAGTGGTAACCTTGGGATTCAAATGCAAGTCTCTGAACTACCAACCCCATGGCCTCTCCACATTAGGAAAGATTAGCTGTCCAAGCTAAATCAGTTCCCCAAAACACTAAACCCATAGAAGCAAACCAAATGAATATATGAATACCTAGTTAATTTACATACAACTAAATACATAATTGGTAATATAAAATTATACAATGTATTACACATATTATAATGTGTTGCACATATTATATCGAAGCAGGGCACCCATCTCAATCACTTTGCCCAACTTCAGACTTCTCTCCTCCTTAAACTTTCCTTTCATACCTTCCGGTGAGGATCATTCTCGACTCTGCCACACTGGTCTGGTTCTGGCAGAAAGTGCAGTATGAAAACAAGACACAGTAGGAGCTGGAACACAGACTGCTTGGGTAGGGATGGGGGAGGGCACAACATAACAACAAAAGGCAGGCTTGGAATAGCACTGGAGAAGTAGGGAAGGTGATGGCTTGCAAAAAGTGCTTCAGTGAATGGAGGAATCAGAAGGAACTGAAGACAAAAAAGGGTCACATAGAGAAGCTTCAATAGGCTTGTAGAAAATGGTCCATAAAACATGAGAATCAGTTCCAGCTTTTTCTGGCTTATATAATTTCATTTCTGATGGCAATAACATATACTTTTAGGTCCCTCGGGAGTACATTTTGGGAAGGGTGAAAGAAAGTAGGAGTGGATGTGATCATTTTTTATCTGACTTTAGCTGGTGTTATTCTTTAAATTATAACAGTATATTCACTGAAAAGTATATACACTGTAGCTTATTTATTAAGTCTGTTGATTTTTTGTTTTAACTAACAGTAATAATTTACACTTATTGGATGCTCACTCTGTACTGTTCTAAATATTTAAAATTATTAACTTATTTCTATCTTTCCAAAAAATTCTGAATTTTGAAGATATTACAAGACTTTTTCCCCACTTTAGAGTGCTGGTAATCTACAAATCGGAGATTCAAATCCAGGCCTTAATTTCAAGTTCAAAAGGTAGAAGTTGTTCTGTATGACTTATTATCTTTCATAAAATTATCAAATACAATCAAATTATAGAAGCATAGGCCTAGAAACTTGTATTTCACCTGATTTTTTAAACCACCAAATACTTTTCATATTTGATCACACTTTTAAAAGACATAATAAAGACACTAATGTAATTCTCACTATTTCCTAAAATAATAATGTTAGGACATATATAAGAATAGCTTTATCATCAAAATGAAGTTTTTTTAGACATAAAAACAGATTACAACTTTGTTACACAATATTCTACATATAGAAGTAGATTAACATTTTTCTCTAGAAAACCTTGAGATAGAAAATTAATTCCATTCAAAACATATTTACTGGGGGCCGGGGATTTAGCTCAGTGGTGCCACGACCTGCCTTGCAGGCTCAAGGACCTGAGTTCAATCCCTGGTACCAAAAAAAAAAAAAAATCAAATGTAAAACACATTTACTGGGTTCAGGTGCCCCTGTACTATGCACTCTGTGCCAGGTACTACAAAAGTTACATGAACTCTCTAGGTGCTTACAATTCAGCACAGAGACACAGATTAATATATCACAGATAAAAACAAAGTAAGATATTAGAAAGAGATTTCTGTGTAGGGAACTTCTTAATTTACAAGCAAATGTAATATTGTTTTTATCTGTGCTGTTCATTTTTTAAATGAATTTAACAGAAACTACGTGTATCCCAACTGCATCAAACTGCTACTGCTTTTCAAAATATACATTTAAAATTATATAGAAAACATACACAAATTTGAAAAATAAGCTGTAAAACATGTTTTTTTTTTCTGGTTCTGGTATGGCCTGCTATTGTTTATTTTTTGAGATACTTCTTTGGCACATGTTCTCTGTTGGTTTTAGTCAAGCTCGTTTATCACAGCATATAGTAGTAGCAGCAAACCTACGTGCCACAGGAGGCTGCTCGTTATCAACTCTAAAAGGTTTGCCATTATTGGTATACAGAATCAGCAGAAAAGAAATTAAGAAAGTTTCAGCATTCTCTTATATTCTGCCAAATATAAAAAGACCACATGAAAAAATAGGAAAAAAATGTACTGCAGTAACAGAAAAATACCTTGAGAAGCCAAAGAACAAAATCATCAGTACGCCGATACTATTCCACATCTGGTAAGGTAAATGGCTATGTTTCAGTTTTGTTTAAGACTACTACAGAAAGCACTCCATTATCTCGCATCAAACCACCTTTCTATGTTTATTTTCTACAATGAACCCATATTTGTCTGCCCGTAAGAGTGCTTTTTGCATTCTTACTGATAGGACTTTCAACTGTTTTCCTACATAAACTGTAACCATACAACGAGATCAAACTTAGGTCTCATTCTCTTTAAGGAAATCTTTAACCAATCAACTCCTTTCCCAATTCTTACATTTACTGCTTAGTTTCTTAGGAACAGAAGTGCTGTGTCTAGCAAGTGTTTCAAAGTAAAATACAAACTAAAAAAAAAAAAAAGGAAATATAATACAAACAGGAAATGCAATCTGACTTGTCTTTTTATAATATTAAACAAATATTCAAGTAAGGTAAAAAATAAACCGGTTACCTTACCCCATTTAGGCTGCCTAAATCCTTCACCAAATGTTCATCTGTAGAGGCATCATAATTGATTACAGCATGTTGCTTATCCACACTGCGAGACTGAAACGAATTTGTAAAGTTTAATAAATACAAGAAAGTACTATAATAAACACTAAACAAAAGATTTTAGCTAAATAATGTATATAGGACAATAGAAAATATAAGAAAAGGATACATGGAAAAGCAAAAGTAAAATATTACATTAGATTTATACTGTGCTACCATATACTACAAATTTGGCTACCTTCATCAAATTTTTAAAATATTCCTTCTACTAAATTCACATTCTGATTTTGAAAGAAATTACTTTGTTGAATGTATGAAGTTACAATTTTTAGTAATCTGAAACTGATTTATCTTACTGTAAAAAAAAATGTACCCTATAGTATTTTCTTCTTTCAATACTGAAAATTATTAACATAAACTGCATAAAGAATCCAAAGACTTGGGCCGAATTTTTAGTAATCTGAAACTGATTTATCTTACTGTAAAAAAAAAATGTACCCTATAGTATTTTCTTCTTTCAATAACGAAAATTATTAACATAAACTGCATAAAGAATCCAAAGACTTGGGCCGGGGCTTTAGCTCAGTGGTTCTGCCACCAGTTTTGCAAGCACAAGGTCCCAAGTTCGATCCCCAGTACCAAAGAAAAAAAGTCCCAAGACTTACAGGAAAGAGGACATAATACATGTTTCTGAATAAAATTATTCTCACTAAAAATGGAGGCTAAAATTGGAATTAAAAGTAACTTCTATCAGAGTTTTAAAAAAGCAATTACTCTGACATACCACAGTTTTTGAAAACTGCTTTGAAGTCTCCTTTAAAGTATATACACTTCAGAGCTTAGTGAGTTGTTTCCAGACAAAGACTTAAAAAATGAACCCTGAGCCTATAAAAACATATGTTTTTATAATGTGAAGAATGACAGTCACAGCAAGAGAAAATATATGAACCACTAAACATGCGTTACCATTTGTTATAGGATTAATTTTGCAAACCTCTGTATATTAAAAGCAAAGCTGGTATCAAAAATGGGAAAGAGATGTGCCTTCCAGTTTGCAGTACAACACATAAAAAATTTAGAGAAGTCACCTCTTCCACTCTCACAGTAAGAAAAATGTTAAACTAAACATCAAAAATTCAGACTGAGCATGGTGGTGCACAACACTCAGGAAGCTTACAGTAGGATCATATGAACTCACAAGTCTGAGAACCAATTAAGCAACATATCAAGACTCTAACAAAATAAACAAAAACCCAATTAAGTTAGCAAAAACTGCCGCTCTGAGAACTATACACTCAAGCAATTACAGGGAAAGCTGGAATTACCAACTGGAAGAAATATTAAGAGTTATAGGATTAACTGTTACAGACTGGAGTGGGCCAGCTTGAAATATACAACTCCTAGGGGCACAGCCTCAGAGACGCTATCACTTTTAGAAGTCTTAGCCCCACAAGCTATGTGAAGATCCCAACGTAGATGGTGAAAAAATTTGCTTCCACCAAGGGGACAGAAAAAGTAAAGGAACACCCCCAGAGCTTTCTGTTCTCCTAATTAAAAGTCTTCGCTCTTTCACTGAAGCCTAACCAACATAGGTTTCACCAGTTTAACTCACACCAGGACAGAAATATCCAATTCCTGTCCCTTCTAAGCATTCCTGTTTCACACGCATGTGCAGAGTACAAAAAAAAACATAATGACGTAACTAGAAGACTGAAAAGTAGCAACAGCACTATAGGATGTGTTACTTCCTTTCAAAGCCTATCACCATATCCACAGAGATTTAAACACACACATATATAAAAGGCATTATTATAACAGAAGAACTTCAAAGATCAAACTCTATGTAAGGAATTCTTTAGGAAAATCTGAATAGGAGACAAAAGAAAAGACATTAGAAAAAACTGTTAGTGACACCTCAACTACAGCAAATAAACACAGCCTAATTCCTAGTCACATACATAAAATGAGCAGGTAAACAACAGATTAATCAGATATAAATCCTATCTGAAATGACAACTATTATGACATCAGTAAAACTTAGAAATCCCTTCTCCAATTGGCTTAACATTCCATTCTGAGAATGTTTTATCGTTTCTTCCTAGAATACAAAGCTGTAAATTAAACTGTCCTTGGAAACAAACAGTATGCTACCTAAAACAATCTCCCTACCATACCTACACATTCATCATAAATGTCTCTTCCTCTTAAAGGTTTTAAAGGTAATTTTTAGGGTTGGTTTTCTGAAATCTCAATTTCTCTAGGACAAATTATTTCAGCATTAAATCGAATTCTATTAATAGTACTACTGTCATTTCTCTACAACTGACCTGAAAAATCATCTATCAGGCAAATAACAACTAATCATAAAACTGAACTCAAGTTCTTTGCAGTGAGCTATACATTATTCAGGCTAGATTTGAACTTGAGATCCTCCTGCCTCAACCCTCCAGAGAACTGGACTGACAGGAGAGCAACTACCACGGCTGGCTAATGAGTCGTATTTTTAAAGTGTGTAAGACGAAACTTCCTACCTAAGAATAAGCTTCTCTTCTGAGCTCTCATTTTTCAAAATATATTCCTTAAAACTTAGAAGTTATTTTTAGATAATTCAAGGGCAAAAATAATTAAACAGATAGTATGTTAAAAGAGAGCCAGGAAGTTTTCAAATCTTAACAGTGCTGTTCTTTAAAGAAGTAGAACAATACGTATTTTTATTAATTCCAAGTTCTGAGCAGATACAGAGAAGGCTGACACAATTACCTGCAACATGAGCTCACAGTCGTCTCTTCCAACAAAAATCATTTCTCGTGGCAGCCTGTGGCGAGTGCCTCCACTGCTCACCAAAAACCAGGATGTTAAGCTCATTTTCTGCTTAGCTTCTAAGTCTTCGGCAAAGCTACATCATCCTGCAGAAACATGAAGAAAAATACAAATTCAGATTCTTTTTTAGCTTCAGTATCCGTTCACCAAAGCCCATAGGTAGATGAAGAATAGAACTGCGTCCATCAACATTTACAACCAATATAGGCCAAATTTTATCAGTAAAGTAAGGCAAAAACTCTACAAAGCATCAAACTGAAAACAGACATGAAGTCAGGCCTTGTGGCCAGTGCCTGCAGTCCCAACTAGTTGGGAGGCTGAGCGACAAGGATCAGATGAGCCAAGCCCAGAGCCTGGGCAACATAGCAAGACCTTTCTCCTTAAAAGAAGTGGAAGATGAATGAAGGGATGGAAAAGAAACAGGAAGAGGTGGAAGAGAATTAAGATAATTAGATAGGTAGTCAACTAGTAAACAACATTCTCCTGACAGGCTTATAGAACAGCTCATAAATGTTTATAATCCTCAAGGAGATGCTAACTTTAAGAATGCGAATATAATAGAAATACTTTACAAATAAATGTCTTAATTTATCAGTGGTTTGAGAAAGACTGCATTAAAGATGACTGTATGTGATATTTAATTAGAAACTACTTACAGAGGCAAAGAAATTGCTTGTTTGACTTCTAAGTACAGAACAAGTGAATGTAGTTTAAATTGCTCTTTTCTCACATGTATTTTATTTTCTTAATACTTTTTTTTTAGAGCAACAATTCTTAAATTTAAGTTAGGATTTTTTAAACTCTTAAAAAATGGAATGCTAACAATATTTGTTTATAAGAGTTACATATATTTGCCATATTGAAATTAAAAACCAAGAAACTGGTATTTAATTCACTTAAAATAACAATTTGTTAAAAATTAACGTTTCTAAGAGAACCTGTTATTTTCCAAAACAAAAGCAATTATAATGAAAAAAATAGTACCGTTTTACATTTTGCAATCCTTTTAAAGTCTTGCTTAATATAAGATGAAGCTTTGCATTCATTAACATATACTGTTTAACTTGAAATACAAAGAAAACTTGTGTAACAGAAATAGTTGGGAAAGGGAGGTGTATTTAAATAGTCTTTGAAATAATTACAATTTTTTTGGTTTCTGCATCAAAATTTTGTTAAGTGATAGTTTCTTGAAGATTATTTGTCACATGAAATCTGAATCTTAATGAGCCATTCACACTCTGTGTTATGGTTGAGGTCTAGGTGTCCCCCCAAAGCCTCACGTGGTCATAGGCTTGATCTAGAGTGTGTGAAGCTGGAATTGATTCATGATGCAATGCTAGACTCAAGGGCACTAGTATTGAACATGAGTGCTACCTGCACTAAATAGTCTGAATAAGATAAAAGGAACAGGGAGACACTGTTAACTCTCTCTCTGTCCTTTTACTTTTGCTGCCTTGTGTGTGCCATGTTGTTTCTGCTCTGCTAGGCTTGTTTGTCATTTTTGCTTTGGAGTTGGCTGATTATGGACTGAAACCTATGAACTGAAAGCCAAATAAACCCTTTAACTTTAGGTGTCTGGTATTTTGTCTCAGCGATGAGAGAAAAGCAACTAACTAACACACTCTACTACATGAAAATCTGCCTTCCTTTTGATGAGATTCTGCAATATCATACATTGGCCCTTTGGAAAATATTGGTTTACAGAGTTGTGCAGATCTTCCAAATACTAGCATGTTTCATTTATACTACTACACAACTCATTCATTAGTATCAGCACCCATCTCCAGGAAAACTCTTTAAATGTCAGGCAGCTGTTAGGCTCACAGTGGGAGATTTGTTTGCTAAAATTCTAATTTCCTCTTGACAGCTCAAATTTTATCACTTTTTTTTTTTAAGTCCTGTCATTTTTCCCTTAAGGCTTACTTTGTCTGGCAAATACCTGGGTCTATACAACTATGTAATTTTCCTGTCAATCTTTGTTTGAAACAAAAATGTATTTTATGAAACCAAGTTCCTGGCAAGTACAGCTCACAATTTACACAATGACCCAACATGTTTTCCTGAACACATGATACTTTGATATACCATATGAGTATTTCATGTATACTTCCAACTTAGTCATAAAGAATATTAAAAGATGTGACTCAAAGGGTGAGTTTTAATGTAGTTCATAATTTATACTTAGACATTTTGAAATGCAACTAGATTTTTAAATTTGTTTCTTAACTGCAAACGTATAGTAATGATGAGTACTACCACCACTGGCATACTCTAATATCACTGGCTTGATCTATGTTAATGAGCAAGCAACTTTACCACAACTGTTTTTACACTATGAAAACAATGCCAGTACAAGGCCAAAAAAGTTTTGATAATATCATGAAAAGGCTTTGATCCCATAAATTCTTGACAGGGTTTGAGAGACTTCGAGAAGTCTATGGATTGAGAGCTTTGAGAATCATTATCCTAGAGAATGTGGCTTTGTCATTAAGAGTCTAAGCCTTGGAGGAAGACAGTCTAAGAGGTAAGTCTGAATCTTAGCTCTACTGCTTTTATTCTACACAATTCTGAAAAGCTATTTACTTCATGCACCTTAGTTTCCTCTTCTGTAAAATAATAAAAATGATAGCAGTTATTCAAGTTTTGCTTTAGGAATCAAAAGAATAATACTTATAAATATTTTCCCCATGAAACTGTATTTGTGATACACTTTGGGAATTAAACTAAACCACATGGGATGACTTACTTTGCAATGAGAAGCATTTCTAAACATTAAAGCAAAATCCTATAAAATGTAGAACTTTATGTTATAGTAAGATCCTATGTATTATTAATATACATTACACAAAACACATTTCACCAAAACAAAAATATCATTTGCATAAAGCTCAATCAAGTCTTAACTCCATTCTCAGTTTATTCAATTAATAAGGTCACCTTACGTGGATGATTGTCTCCCATTTACACAACTCCTTAATGATGTTGTTAGTCTCCAATCTACTTTGTATTAGTTTTTAGCATTTATTTCCTTGAATCAAAATACATTCTTCCTGGCTAAGACAACAAAGAATATAAATTTTACCACAGAAAAACCTCTAATTTGCACTCAGCATGTACAAATTTTAAAATACTATACAAGTCAGTAGGTTAGTTGGTCATACTTATCCAATGGAGCTTAAAAAAAAAATCCACAAAAAGGAAAAGGAAATCAATTTAGCCAAGAAGAAAAAAGACTTCTATAGCTAAAATTACAGAATACTGAAGAAAAAATTTACGATGTTAGAAAATGTAAAGACCACAGTGCAGCAGACTAATATTATTACAATGGAAAAATTAAGCGAGCAATCTACAGATTCAATGTGACCCTCATTAAAATATCTATAAAATTATCCACAGAACTAGAAGAAAATTATCTTACAATTCATACAGAAGTACAAAAGACTGCAGAATAGCCAAAGCTGCCCTGACCAAAAAAAGTAAAGCTAGAGCGATACAATACTTCAAATTACAGTACAAAATTACAGTATGGCACAGAAACATACACGAAGACCCATGAAATAGAAGACACCAAAACAAATTCAAGCCCCTTCAGCCATCTACATTTTCACAAAGGGGACCAAAACATGTTGCAAAAAAGAGTCTCTTTAACAAATGATGTGGGGAAAACTACATCGACATGCTCAAAATTGAAAATTAGATGCTTATTTTTCCCCAGTAATAGAACTACATCAAAATGGGTCAAAGACCTTCATCAGAAATTTTGAAACTGCTGAATGAAAACATAAAGCAAATGCTTGAAGTCATAGGAACATGCAGAGTACCTGAATTAAGACAACAGCACAGCAAATTATATCAAGAATCAACAAATGAGAGTACATGAAATTAAAAAGCTTCTGCAATGCAAACTAAATGATTACCAGGGTGAAAACTAGAGTGAAAATGGGAGAGAATCTTTGGTAGTCTTCTGATTAGAGGATTAATATTAAAAAAACTTAAAACCCAAAATTAAAAACAAAAAAGCCCAACCAATAAGCAGCCAAAAGAACTGAAGAGAGAATTCTCAAAAGAAAGAGAAATGGCTAATAAGTATATGGAAAAAAAAAAAAAAGCAAATGACCCAATCAAAAACTCCTTTTTCAAAAAAGTAGTATAGATAGACATAGCATGAAAAAATGTTTATCATCTTTAGCACTTACTGAAATGAAAATCAAAACTATTCTGAAATTTCATCTTACCCCACTCAGAATGGCTATCATCAAAAACACAAAAATTATCAAATGCTGGCTAGGATGTGTGGATGAAAAAGGAACTATTCTATACCTCTATATACCTCTTCTATAGCTAACTATACCTCTGAGTATATTCCATAATGAGTTAAAAGACATTATACTATACTGATACATACATATTCATAACACTGCAATTCACAAGGGGGAATAAAATTATAAGTATACCTCTCAAAATTGTTATTTGAACATTCAATAAAGGTTATAAATTAAAGTAAACTTACTGAACCACTGCATGAACATACAGGTTTCTGTAACTTGTATCTTTTTATCTTTTCATCATATCAACTACCTTGAACTGAAAAAATTTAAATGTAAAATTCTGGATCCTTATTTTATATTTTTATTCTTACTAAATTACTAATAAAATATCTTTCATACTGAAAGTCTCTTGTCTTTGCAAACCATGTATTTCTGAAAATGAAAGAAATACTTAAGGTTACATTTCAGCTAAAGGCTAAGGATTAAATAAAATGCCAATCATGTTATAAAGCAAGTATACACAATTTTCTGTAATCTTTTATTTGTAACAGGTAACATTTATTGGCCACTATGTACTAGATACTGTTCTAAGAACTCATACCTATTCAGAGAACATTTATATGTAAATATATAATTATTTCAACTATAAAAATTCTGTAGGTTCTGGGAAATGAAAATAAACATACACCATTTAAACAAGAAGTCTTAAAGGGTACTATAAAATGAATTAATTCAGTTTTTCTTAATTCACAAGTACACAATGCCGATATTAGGGAGAGAGCGAGAAGACAGAAGTTCTTATACTCACAGAACTAAGA